TAAAAAAGACCCAGAGAAGAAGTAAGGGGTGTGGAAAGGAAGGAAGAAGACAACGGCCGAGGATGAGGTCATCTACTTTAGCAATTAAAATATTTGTATAAAAATAAATCCTGCAATGCATGTCTCTTGGGTTCTGAGTTACCCCACTCAAGATGTTTTTTTTCCCTAGTTCCTTCCATTCTACTTCCAAATTTCATTTTTCTTGACAGTTAAATAATCTTCCATTGTGTAAATGTACTGCATTTTAATTATCCATTCTTTAATTTATGGACATCTAGGCTGTAGTTTCAGGCTATTATGAACAGAGCAGCAATGAACACTGATGAGCAAATTCCCTGCAATGCAATGTAGAGCCCTGAACAAAAAATGGACACATATCATGTGTTTTCTCTTATACATATATGGATATTCACTTTCAGCTTTTGATATGTGTGTTACAATCCAAATATCCACAGAGGTTAGATACTTAGTAAAGGATCAGAGGGGAGTAGAGTATCATCCAGAAAGACAAAATAGAATTGAGTGTTACAGAAAAATGAAGGGAAAAGTAGAATAGGAGGACTGAACAGTGTGAGAGAGGATAAAAGAGAAAATGTGGGGAGAGGGACAAATAATACTACAGGTCTTTTAAAGAGTCATATGGAAACCTACCACTGTAGAACTCCCTAAACTATATATATATATAGTTTACAAATGGAGTCACCAAAAGGGGAGACACTGCCCCCACCAGACTTCTTATGCCATCAAGTAAAACCTCCAGTGACAGGACTAGGTTAGACCTCATTTAGTCCCAGCACCTACACTGGCAGCTCACAACTGTCTGTAACTCCAGATCTAGAGGATCCAGTACACGCTTCTGCCTTCTACACACTTCAGGTACACATGTGGTGCACTTAAGTACATGTTGGCATACACATAAAATTAAAACTAAATCTCAAGTTGAATAAGCTTGAATAAGGGCCCATGTGAGGGCTTGGCCCTCAGCTTGTTGGAAGGGAATACTCAGGATATCAATGTGGTGTCCCTGTTCTGTATCTCAGGGGTAACAAAGGGGAAGATAGAACATTAATTCTCTTCCACCAAGGCATACGATCTTGTCATCAACTGAAGGGAAAATGGTAAATTGATGATGGTTTGAAAACTGTAACATTGTGAGCTGAAATAAAGGTGGGGTCCCTTAGCCTCTCATGAAACTTGGATCTGGAGAAGGGAGAGTTGTGAGTGCTCAACTTCTTTTAGACTGTGTTGACCCATCTCTATACCTTTTGTTCACATTTCCTGAATGTATAAATGTGTTCTTCTATACTTATTCTCTCAGTTGGTCTATTCATATGAGAAGACTGATGAGATCATAGCCATTTATAGTTACGGTTTTTCGATCTTCAGTGGGTTCAGTTGCAACCTGCTAAGAACTTCTTAACAGGCTGCAGAGAGAGCTCAGTAGTTAAGAGTATGTTTTGTGCTTACAGAGGACCCAGTATCCACATTGTGGTTCAAAGCCATCAGTAACTCCAGTTCTAGGGGACCTGATACCCTCATCTGGCCTGTGTGGTCATCAAACACACATTATGCAATACATACATGCAAGCAAAACATTCAAAAACAAAGAGAATAAATCTTTTTTAAAAAAATTTAAACAAAAAGAGTCTTTTAGCCTGTGCTAAATTGTAATTCTTTAAGAATACACCATTTGTGCATGTGGAAGGACCATGTGGAGCAGATGGGGCTCTAGGAGGAACAGAGCTTGTTAAGGGTCCATCGTGCTCATGATGAGAACCCTGCAGATGCAACAGATGCAACAGAACTTTCCTTTAACTTTTGAAAGCCTGGCTTTGGTCAGAGGGGGGAAAAAAGGAACTCTAGATTCTTTGATATAAATTGAAATACTGCTTTCTATAGCACCTTAAAGATACTTAAATTACAATAGAAACAGAAGAACCTCCTCACCCCAGCCTGGAGGGCAAAGTCTCTTTTTATCTGTATTGACTTAGCCCATGATCATAAAAATTCAATTTGTTTTCCTTTGCTCTACCCACTACATGTTTTGATTAGTGAGTGTGCGGGACAAGCGGACCAACTGTCATTCATGTAATCAACATGGCAGAACAGCACAGATTCTGAATTACTCTTTTTTAAAATTAAATTTATTTATTTCATATCTTGAACACAGTTTCTCCTCCCTCCTTTACTCCCCCTCTCCACCTCCCCTCTATGCACCCCCCACAACCCAGTCCTCCTCTGTGTCTGGTCAGAAAAGGGCAGGCTTTCTATGGATATCAACAAAACATAGCATATCAAGTTGCAGTAAGACTAAGCACCTCCCCTTTTGTTAAGACTGAGCAAGGCAACCCAAATATGAGAAGTAGGGTCCCAAAAGCCAGTAAAAGAGTTAGAGGCAGTCCCTGTTCTTACTGTTAGGAGTCCCACAAGAGGACCAAGCTACTCAAGGGTCACATATACTCAGACAGCCCAGGTCAGTCATGCAGGCTCCATAGTTGTTGGATCAGTCTCTGTGAGCACCTATGTGCCCAGGTTCGTTATGTGGGTGCCCTTATGATGTACCTGACCTTTCTGCCCCGACAGTCCTTCCTGCCTCTCATCAGCAGGGTATTCCGAGCTTGGCCTACTGTTCTTTTTGTTCCCAGGGAAGCATCCTTTCTGGTTACCCAGGGATTATTCCCATGCAAGCCATCAAAAAAGAGGCAGGACTAAGTCTCACCTACAGGAGGCCCATATGGCTATGAACTGAAGAAGAAAAATGGGGACTGTGGAGAAGGGTAAATGGAACCACAAATGGACAGGTGTCTAGTTTGCATATAGGGAAAGCTATTTTGTGATGCCAACAGAGTTATTCTTTTTCTTTTTTCTTTCTTTCTTTCTTTTGGGGGGGTAATTTTTAAATTTAATTTGAAACAAGCTTGTTTTACATGTCAATCCCATTTCCCTCACCCTCCCATCCTCCCCTGCCCCCCCACCAAACCCCAATCCCATCCCCTTTCTGCTCCCCAAGGAGGATGAGGGCTTCCATGGAGAGTCTTCAAAATCTGTCACATCATTTGGAGCAGGGCCTCTGCCCTCCCCCACGTGTCTAGGCTGAGAGACAGTCCTTCTTAATGAAGTTGAATATCTGCCTCACTCAGAGCTACACTACCGTTTCAGAAAACTGTGCACTTTACCACCATTGTAGGCTGTTGCCCCCTGCCACACTTTATCGTGGACAGCTGTCTTCTCTCTGAAAGGCATCCCTAACCACTGCACCCAGAAGATGTAACTTGCTCTCCATTCATGTGGTGCTGAGCTGTCAGTCACAGTGAAGAAACTCCTGGTAGAAAATCTGGACAGTGTATTTAAACACTCCATCTTGGTCTGAAATGTTGTGTAATTATACAGACTTACAGCTTTTCTTCCCTCCTCATTTAGAAGGCGAAAGCACGTCTTAAGCATGTTACCGGGGTAAAATGTTTGTGAAATAGCTTGTATATGATAATTGGTGCATATCATAAAGTGTTTAGTGATTTTCCAATTAAATTCAGCTATGATGGCTTTCATTGGCTTGTTTATAATATGTTACTTTCATTTGCTTATTAACTGAACTGAATTGAATATATTTGCTTTTATGATAACACAACCATACACATTTATGACAGAAAATATTCAATAAAGAAGCAAAACGAAAGCCCTATGTAAGTCATGATAAATAACTAAACCAAGAAGTTGTGATGCTAACAAAGGAATTTCATATCTAGGTGTATAGGTGCAGGGTGCCTGATTGTCATCCTCTGTACTCTTGACCCACACAGTGGCCCTCAGCTCACCCAATTCATTCCCTCACAACCTTTAGCACCAAGGTTGGTTAAGGGGTCGAGGTTAAACTTTCCCCAGATGGTACTGAACTGGAGATGCCTGCCACCTGAGGAGCCCTTTTCTCCTGAGGGTGGGTTCTGGGGACCCCCACCTAATGACTTATCTAGAAAGTGTAGCCACCCCTGCCCAAAAGTCCCCTCCACACCCAATGGGAAGGGGTGGAACAATATCCCAAGCAGAACAGGATGTGAGTCACCAAAGTTTCACATCCAGGCACACTTTTGGTTGAATCCACCAGAATGAAAGCTACTTAGGTTTGCTTTCTAGAGTGGCCAGGACTGCTAGGGAGACTCTGACTCAAACAATGACATCAACAAAACATTGCATCTCATCCCTAGAGTTTTCTTAAATATCTAGCCATACTGTTTTTATGTAGTATATCCTTTGTCTGTTGGATAGTTTTTGGGAACTTGACACAAACATAGACACCCCTGAGAGAAGGTAATGTCAGTTGAAGAATGGAATTGCCTCTATTAGGTTGGGTTGTGGGAATGTCTGTGGAGCATTTTCTAAATTGCTAATTGATGTAGGAGGATTCACCTGCTATGAGAACCATCTCTGGGCAAGGGGCCCTGGACTTTGTAAGAAAGACAGATGATCAAGCCAATAAATAACATTCCTCAATAGTCTCTACCACCTCCAGGTTCCTGCCTTGGCTTCCCTGCATAATGGACTCTAGTCTGTAAGCTAAATAAATCATCTTCTCCCCAAATTGCTTTTGTGGTCAGTGTTTTATCACAGCAACAGAGAATAAAACTAGGACACTGTGTATATTCTTAATCCTTCCCTCTGTCTTCACTTCAAGTGCTGGTACCCTGCTTTGACTTTATTTAAGTATACACACAGCATTGTGCCTTGAGTGAATTAGGCGTTCATTATCTATTCTTTCTCAGAGTGACTCACGGTTTGATTATTTCACTCCAATATCAACTGAACTGCAGCTTTTGTCTTTGAATTCCAAAGGATGTATGGTTTATTTAAATTTTATTTAAATATGAAGTAAGGAAAATATTAAAGGTTGTCATTGTATTTTACTAAAGCTATATGTTAAAGGATAGAGATGACTGAATTCTTCCTGGTGAACTGAGGTCATTTCATATAACAGGGACTTAATTTTCATTGTCCTTTCCTCCTAGTTTGTTGCCCAGCCCAACTGCCAGCAGCTGCTCGCATCCCGCTGGTACGATGAGTTCCCAGGCTGGAGGAGAAGACACTGGGCGGTGAAGATGGTGACGTGTTTCATAATAGGACTGCTTTTCCCCGTCTTCTCCGTGTGCTACCTGATAGCTCCTAAAAGCCCACTTGGACTGTTCATCAGAAAGCCATTTATCAAGTTTATCTGCCACACAGCCTCCTATTTGACCTTTTTGTTCCTGCTGCTGCTTGCCTCTCAGCACATCGACAGGTCAGACTTGAACAGACAAGGTCCACCACCAACCATCGTGGAGTGGATGATATTACCGTGGGTCCTGGGTAAATGTGTTACTATAGAAAATATAATAACAAACGTGTTTCTGCCATGGAATTCTGTTGCTTAGAAAGAATATTCATTAATGTTTGAGGCAGAGGGAAATTACATATAGGTCCTCACCGTGGTAGCTCTAAGACCTAATCCTCAAAACCAAAGAAACATTTTTCAAACTGTGGTAGACTTGCTCCCAAAAGCAGCCCAGGAAAGAAGGCAATCTTAGGGTACAGGATTGCAGGCGCTGATGACTCCATGTCCCACAAATGACTCAGGGTTTGTGCCTCGCTTGTCTTTTGTGTCTTTTTGACATGTCTTATTGGCCACACATAATCTCTTATTTTTCTCCTGTGCTGGCATCTGAACCCAGAGCATTTTTAGGGGAAAGCAGATACTCTGCCACTGATTGAACTGTATCCCAGCCCCCAAGTTTCTTATCTGCATTTAACAAGATAGGTATGTATCTCTCTAAAGAACTACTGATTTTATATATAACATGTTATATATAACTATACATGCATACACACACACACATATATATGTATGTATATACATACACAGAGCATTTTAAAAGCTTTGTCTATTTTTTTTACTTTGAAAATTTTGTAATTAGAAAATTAGGAAATTAAACAATAGACATTTTTCAACCTCCATGTTACCAGAGATAGATAATTCTTTTATAACTGCTACAAATCAGAGAAACCTTGTTTATGAATATTAAAAACTGTGTTTTCTTTCCTTCCTTCCTGTTACTGTAGCCATGCCTAGAATTTGCATTTTAATTATCCCTTTCTGCATCCTACTGTGGTTTATAGAGAAATCACATTTTCTCAGCTTAGTTCTTTGCTTGAGATCCCTGTGGTACCAGAACCAGCTCATTAGGAAACATGACAAATTTCACAATTCACTGTCTCAGGAGATCTGCTTGGGTTAACTTCAAAATTTCAAGGAGACTAAAGTGAGGAGCTATCAGGGAGAAAGAAGAAGACCAGCCTTCAGTCCTAAAGCTTACAAACAACCTAAATAGCAGCTAAGAATAAAAGTACAGCCAGGGAGCAGAAGCACACCCCTTTAATCCCAGCACTCAGGAAGCAGAAATAGGTGGATCTGTGAGTTCAAGGCCAGCCTGGTCTACAGAGTGAGTTCCAAGACAGGCTCCAAAGCCACACAGAGAAACCCTGTCTTGAAAAAAAAGAAAGAAAAAAGTACAGTGATGTGCGATTGGGTGTTTTATAAGACACTACTTTTTTTTATAAACAATATCTCAAGTGACTCTTAGTGTCAGTTCTAACTAATCTGATGTTCACACACTATGTGTTTATCTAGGTTAAAAAGAAAGTTTCCTTCTGTAAGCCTTCAAGAAATTATTAACACCTTGGGGTTGATAGTAAGATGAAATTATTGCTCTCCTCCAAATTATCTCAACATAATATTTTATGTTATTTTTCCTCATAAAAACTTTCTAGAATAATTAGTAGCAAAACACTTATGAATTTCTGTCTAAGTATTCATAACTTGCAATGCATATCTGAAAATCATGACATTCCAAATGGATCACACACCTTTTTTAAGGAAAATATAGTTACAAATATGGTATGTCATAAGCATATATAGTATTTCAAGTCTTTGACTATCTTCAAAGAGTTAAAGGGTGTGACTATTTCATAGCAAATAAAGGCACTTGGCCAGATGGACCTTAAACTTCACAGGAGGGGATGGGTAATATATTAATGATCAGAACTGCAGAAAATGGTAAATGTTATAAAAGAAGTAGAAACAAATAATTTTTAATAACATTTGTGCTTAAAATTGCCTTGAGTACCTTCTATATGTTAAATCCATAGTAGAATATTCCTTGACATGTGGATAAAAAAAATGACAGCAGTGTCACAGCTCAGTGGTTAATGTAGAGACTTAGCTTATTATAATTACAATGAACTGTATTACAATTCCAGTAGTCTGAAGTATCTTCAAGAGGCAACTTTTTCAGGATGATTTGACTGCAGAGGGCTAATTGATCTGGGAACTTCTAGAGTGAAAAGATATTTCCTAGAGTTAAAAAAAATATTTGAGTGATTATTTCACTTCAGCAGTAAGGCAAGTAACAAATGGTGTTTACATCTCAGGTAGATTTTAAAACAGTTATATTGTCGAACTATGAGAGCCTCACCCCTAAGACTGAGTCTGGAGTGCTTTAAGAGAACTGTTCCGGATGCTTGAGCTGGGATTCTGTGGAAAGGCTACTTCTACGGGTCTTAAAATATAAGCAGCCACAAAACCTTGGGGTTTTCAGTGCGTTCATCCATAAAGGGAGAGGATTTTCATTGTATGACACAAACATGCCATTGAATCTACTGAAATGCCCTCATTAGAGAGACAGAATTGCTATTCTTACAAAGGGGCAGAAGACAGCATTAGGATAGGAGTGCTTAGACTTTTCTATGAACATGTGGTACAGATTAAAAGAGTGTGGTCTGATTTGATGACTGTATCAGTGGGTCATGTATATTTTCTTGTCCAAGGCTGATAGCTATTGGAGTAAGGCATCTTTAATTTCATTTCCTTACCCAACCATTTCCTAATCCATGCATCATATGGTTCTAGATTTATATAGCAATAAGATAAAAATTACTTAAGAATGGAGTGATGGCTTAGTGGGTAAGAGCTCTGGCTACTCCTGCAGAGGACCAGGGTTCAGTTCCCAGAACCACCATGGCAGCTCATAACCATCTGGAGCTCCAGTTCCAGGGGAATCTGACACCATCATCTGGCCTCTGCAGGCACTATGTATGGTGCACATATACACATGCAGGCAAACACTTAATACATATAAAACAAAATTAAGGAAGAGAAAAAGACTTCCTTGGGATACCAGTTTTCAGAGCTTCTCACAAGCCAGTTTGAGCTTATCCTCAAGATCCATCATAACAGGTAAATATATGCCATAGCTTTTTATACTGAACATGTGTGTGTGTGTGTGTGTGTGTGTGTGTGTAGACATGCATATGCATGTATACATTCAGCTTAGCAAAACTTGTGACAATTTTACATCATAAAATTTTATGACAATAGCATTTTGTTATAAAAGTAGCTCTTCAGTAAAAGTTATCATATATTAAATGATGCTTTGCTCCTAAGAGGAGGTGAAATGGTTGTGCAGTGATTGGCATTAAGTTATGCCTAAGAATATGCCACAGTCAAACAGTATGTAAATCTATGCACTGTGAGCAAGATGAGAAGGGTGAATTGAGGAGATGGTGGAGCAGAGAAAGGCATCTCGGCTCTGTTAAAAATAGTGCCTGTTGAATTGCTAGCCACAGAGCAAGAAGTGCTCATAATATCCACATTACCCAGCTTGCCTGGATCTCAGGCTTCTTTAACAATTTTCTTTAGCTACATAGGTTTCTCGTTCCCATCATTTGCTGAGTAATTTATAGCTTAAAATGTTGATATTAGCAAGTCTGAAAATTCTCAGCTGAGTCTGCCAAAAACACAACATGGAATCAATAAATGTTGATTTTATTCTCATTCTGACACTCATAGGAACCACTATATATAGAGATATAGATATATGTGTATATGTTTATCATATGTATTTATGCACATATATGTACATAATTTTCATTCTTGTGACCATTTTCATTTTCATCTTTTGGTGCTAGGGAGTGAACCCAGAGTTTCTTGCCGACTAAGCATGTGTTCTATCATTGAGCCATACTTCAGTGATCCATTTTTTTCAAATAGCCACTCAGGCCATGTGACTTCATTGACTCGTACTTTCAGCCTTTCTTCTAAAGCAGCTAGGACCTCAATCAGCTCCAAGCACTGTTACAATGATAAGAAATGAGCCTTTAGGTCTCTTCCATTCCTCCCCCTGACACAATGCTCAAAGAAGTTCAATAGACTACCTACAGTCGTGTACAGATCCAAACACAGTGGCAGAACAGCCATTTCATATTTTAAAGGACCATTGCAGCATTAAAAAACAAAGAAACAAAAAAACAGAGAAGCATTACAGTATATTCATTCCCCTCACCTTTCTGTTTGTGCTGCTGAAATTATTTAAAAACTATTTTCATATAGTTATGCAGAGTAAGCTATCAAGATACACACTATTTAGAAATATTCAGAAATATTCTAAACATTGTTTGTACACCTACTAAGTCACAGTAACTGAATTATTTACTTGGGGAAAACTGAACTCTGTCAGGCTGTGACAGTACAGGTCAAATTTAATACTCAAGACAGACCTACAGGCCTCCTGGGAATTTTGGTGCCTAGTGTCGATGCAAAGAAAGGAGCATGTGGCAAAAGAAAGATAGGCACAAAAACATAAAAAAGGTCAAAGAGTTGGACAGGTGTGTGAGCTGGTTTTGCTTAGTTTGAAATTACAATAATAGCTATCATTGGATAATGATATTAGATGCTAAAGAGGCCGAACAATTTAAGTGCACAGTCTCCTGTGAATGTCAGAGTAACTCTAATCCTTCTAGATAAAGTAAATGATGGGACAGGCTTTGAGTAATATAGATTCCCTGTCCAAAACCAGGGCCTAGAATGTGTGTGTGTTAGTACAACAAATCCCAGACCCTCCAAGCAGAGAACCTGAATTCTCTATGAGACACTGAGCCTGGAATGGGAGACATGGATTACAGGAAGCAAGAAATTTCTACAACATCAAGCCTCTATACATGCACAGTGTTTCCCTCCTCTCCTTAACCCTTTGCCCAAGTACTGTATAACTGAGCCTTGTATGTGATTCATTACAGGTGTAATGCGTTCCAGGATGCACTTTGGTTATGGTGACTGAATGCCATATTTGTACACACTACATCCTTTTTCTCACCCCACCATACTGCTGTTGTCATCCCCTAACCCTTCCTGATTGTCTAGAACAGTCTATATGGTGCTCAGGTGCTGGAATAAGCAATGTCTTGGAGGCGTGAAGGAAGGGAGGGTTGGTGGAGGAGGAATGAAGGGAGAGAAGAAAGGAAGAAGAAGCAATGGA